TGGTGATCTACAAAGATCTCCCACACTTTGGGGATCCCTTCCTCAGTGTTTGACTCTTCTTCTCGAACAGGACCTCCAGATACTTTTGTCAGGAGCTAAGCATGGAAGAGAGCAGTCCTGAGCTTGATTTYTTAGGTGGGAGAACACTTATTCATCATATTTGAGGAGGCTATATTAAATTGTGCTATCAGGCCTTCAAAAATTTCCAGTGGGTAGGACCAGAGACACAAAAAACTGCTGTCACTGTCACTCCATACTGAGCTCTCTCAAATTGGGCATTGGTGGCAATTGGGCAAAGTTACTTTCCCACAGGGTACTGTTCCACCTCAAGGTGGAGCTTGCCTTGGTTCCTGACAGCATAGACCCTTCAGTGATTCTGGAGCTTGTCCTAGGTTTGATTAAATCTAACCCCTGCACTACAGCACCCACGTGACTCCAGTTAAAGTGAAAAAACTTCACCAGTGCCTTCTGCTTCCACCTCCTCCAACATATCCTAACTGAGCTCTGGAACGGTAGTTCTGATCTGACTTCCGGGATACTTTTGTGACATTTTCTGGGTTACAGAAGATGTTAAGAAATAGCTTGCTGAGCCCTTCCAGATAACAACGGGCACCCAGTACCTGGCTCTCAGCCATTTAGGGCATCAGTGACTGTCAGGGAASAGTTTCTGCTATTTTAATCTGGATTCAGCCTTCTCAGCTGAACTTTTTTCACAAGATGGCAAATGACCATACCATGTGGCACATGGACCTGCTCTCATTTATGGGGTCCTCAGCCCCTGAGGCTGAATATCAGCARTACTTTTGACTGGATTTCTCTTTTGCCACCACCTGTATCCTAATCTGCTGGCACTGAGAAGGTCCAGGGTGCTCTCAGAAATTTGAGGATGCCCCTGGCAGCTCCAAAGGGCATTGGGTAGAATGAGCCCACAGCAAAGAAGAGTTTTGAGGGTCTTTCTCCTTTCCTCAAATGCCTCAATGAAGAAAAACTAATGATGCAATGAGCAAAATATATCACATCTCCGGCTTCCACAGCTTCCTTGACATTGCTGGGGGGAAATAAAAAYGGCTGTCTGCTACAGATGTGAGTGGTAACACCATTTTTGAGGTAAGGATAAAGTCTTGCCAAAACTAGACAAAAGAAGATGCACTTTATCTGAAAGCTATCTGCCTTTATGATACTTTGCATCCTTAAAAGGATGCTGAGGCCAAGAAGGAAATTTCAATCCTGATGTGAATTAGTGCCACAAGGGAGAGAGATATCTGACAGCAAATCATTATTATTGACAGGACATATGGCAAGACCACCAGCATGACTCCACCTCCTCCATGCATACCTTCAGAGCTATGACAAGTGCAGGCACTTCTGATTGGATTGCACCCACATTTTATATGTCAGCAGCCTGCCACCCACTCTGCTAACATCAGTCCGGTCTGCTCTGTTGGCCACTATGTGGTGTCTGGGACGGAGCTACTCTGGAGGAACTTCAAGCACAACTTGCTGGGATGTGGGCCTCAAAACTGTTTTCTAACTAAACAATCATTCCCTAATCATTCTCTGTTAATTCTGCATCATTTTAGGTACTCCTAGCATAGACTACCTCCATAATCCCTTCTTTAGGATCCCTTTAGCAAAGGTCTATTCAGGTTTTGCTTGTACGGAAGCCACCCTACACTTCTCCTCACCCAGGTTGTTCATGTCTACAACTTTTTCCAGTTCTTTCACTTWTTTTTTCAGCTCAGGAAACCAAAACAGCACACAGCAGTGAGCACCTTCCCATCTATGCAGTACCAAATGATGTTTTCTGCTGTAAGTCTATTCCTTTCCTAGTATTTTTTAACACTTTTTTTTTTAAATTGCCCGTGAACTTTCAGTTAATTTGTTCAGGAACCTACCTGCCTTCAGATCTACCTCTTGAACAGTAATAGCTACCTTAGAGTCCACCACTGTGTAGAGTTACGGATGTACTTCCCTTTATTTTTATCAACATCAAATTTTATTTGCCATTTTTTTTCACTTCCTCACACAGCATCCTGAAATCTTTCTACAGCTTTTTCCAGGCACCTTTAGATTTGACTGATCTAAATTATTTTGCAACACCAGAAAATGTTATTTAAGTCTTTCTTTTTCACTTATCACTTGTCACTTATAAGTATGCAGACAAATCTAGCTCCCRGTACTGATACTGATAGCATCCATCTGTTTATCTCTGGAAATTTGAAAATTAACTTTGCCAGTTATTGATCCGCGATGGCTCAGTGTCTTTGGAAACAGTTCGTGATGGGTCTTTTTGAAAACTGTTTCAAAAACAGTTGATCCCATTACTATCATCTGCATACAAATGGTCTCCTTCCAAGAATCGTAACAAACTTCTGAGCCATGACTTCCTTCTGTAAAAGCAGTATCAACTCTTCCCCAATGGATGTTATATATCCATAAGCCTCCAATAATTCTATGTTTTTTACAGTTTCTACCAGCATGCTAGATGCAGGAAACAGAATTCAAACCCTGTAAATTCTTAGATTAGTGAATGATCCTTTTAAAAATCCAAACCATCTGTGCTGMTCTCCATTCCTTTGATAGCCAGCAGGCAGCCTGCTGTTAGCAATTCAAAAAAGTCCTAGTGGAGTTTGTTTATTATTCTCAGTAGATGACCTCTGATCCTGTAGATCTCCTATCTGCCGTATTTCAGATAGAAATATTAGCAGTTTCAGTCCTATTTCTTTTTTTAGGACTTCAGAGGATCCCCTGTTTTGGCAAACTAGACAGTGTGGTCTGTGCTCCTCTGAATGGCAYATCTCTGTCCCAGCACTGTTCTACCACCCTGGCACTGAGACTCTCTCCCTCTGCGCTCAGTTTGGAGATCATTTTAGAGAATCCCTATGTRCACTCTGATCTTTAATCTCCTGTACAACAGCTTATGTTCTGCCTTGGGAACTTTCTGTTAAATGGGTGCTCAGGACCACCGCTTCTTCTCAGCACCTTCTCAGAAACTGCGTTGTATCAACATGGCTCTAACCATTATCACACATATGGGCACCCATTTGACTAATAAGAAAATCCCTTAGCATTACAATTCAACCATTCCTTCATGGGATCTGTGCTTCCAGAGGGCTGTCACCTGTACGAGAGGATAAAGGAATAGCTGGGCAGGGAACATCCCTCTGGGGGATCCGTCACTCCCTTCCCAARCTACATGATCTTCTCCCCAGAGATTTACCTCTTCCTCTGCAGTACAAGTGCCTCTAGACTGGAGATGACTATTCTGTGATGTTCCTAAATACCTCTCTTACACATTCTTGGCCTCCCTTAGGTTTACCTGGAGACCAGATGATTTTTGCCAATAAACTGGAAAGCCTCCATTGTGCAACGTAGCTCTTGCACAGAGGAGTCCATGGGACTATGCTCCCAGATAGCCCTGGGAGCCCGGATATCTCTTATTTCTCCTGGGCTGCRTAATCCTTAAATTCCTAGGACACCCACATGCCCGCTATTGCCTTCAGATGTCTAAAGACAATACTTGCTAAATTACCTCTCTTTGGCATCTTGATAGGCYGCCTGAGATGAGCCTGTACGTTTGGAATGAATCACAAAGAAGAAAAAGTGAGTGACAAAGCAACACAGATCTGATTGGATAATGCAGAAATTATTCCTAAGTGACATTTTRACCAGTATTAATGCTTTTCAAATCAACTATTTGTGCATATTCTTCTTCTATATTTTAATAGKATGTTGGATGCTGCTCACTTGTTTGGAGCAGATACTGCACTACACATGATCTTAGTCAAAAGGCCAAAAAGCAATCTGTATCACACAAAGGCTGCTCAGCTCCAACCAGGATATAAAGCTTAGATGCCAGAGAGAGACTAATATTAGCCTTAAACCATTGTTTATCGCCTCTCTTCATTGGAGGCATCAAGTAGTTGTGCCTGGGTGCTATTCTAGGCCTGTATGSTTGTATCAGGTAGTGAATGGGGGGAGGACATTAACAGAAACTAKATAGAAAGTGATTTAGGCATTAAAATACCTCCCTCGTATCCCCCTGAAACTCTAGCCAACCAGGAGGTGCTTGTGGAGTGGGTAAATGTCTAGTTGGCATAGGATGAATGAGCCCTGACAACCATTCACGCTGCTTTACCAAAGATTGACTGCAACATTGCAGCTGTGGGCACCAAGGAGATGCACAAGCAGTTCATCATCCTCACTTGTGCAGAGGGAGGTGGCTGCCAAAGGGAGCCCGGCCTGCCTGCTTTCTTCAGGRCATTTTGAGATGAAGGGAATTGATTTTAAGGGCCAGGAGTCTGTAAGGTGCATCAGTTCCAATGAACCTCAACTCAGCATTGCCCTCAATGGATCTTGCAAGCTGTGTTTGCATCTCCTTTCTTGCTCAGAATGCTCTTCTCAGGGTAGACTTTTGCTTTGGCTGTTTCACAGCTTCACTGCACGGCTCAGTGGCTCAACAGGCTTTGTGCTGAGCTGGATGCCCGTTGCTATAATTTCACCTGTTTGTGTCTTTTAATCTATATTTGTTCCCTTGGAAGTGCGGGGAGATACATTAGGGCAGAGGTGCTAGGTAAATACCAAGTATTCCTCTCCCCTACGGGCGCTGGGAGCAGCTATTAAGCCTGGGTAAACAGAGAYGACTGCGCGCTCCGCCTGCCAGCAAATCCCACAGGCTGCGGAGGGTGGGACCCAGCAAAGCGCAGACCCTTCCTCCCCAGTCCCCCACCTTTACTGCGGAAATAAAAGGTGGAACAAACTGGGTGCTTGGTGAGAGCGGGGACTGCAGCACGGAGCTGGAGCGCCCGGCCGGGCTGCTGGCCCAGCTGCGTGGCCTGGCTGACGATGCACCATGGGCGGGATCACTGGGCCACCACTATAAATAGGACTCGCGGAGAGCTTCCTGACAAACCGAAAGCTTAAGCACTACCCGTGGAAGAGCGGGTGTCAGCCCAGACAGGGGTGGCACCAGGAAGCTCTAGCGAGGAGGTGTGGTGTTCATACATTATCCTGATGAGGATGATAGCACGTGCTCTAAACTAATGCAGCATCTCTAGGGCTCAGCAGCAAGCGGGATATGGACCACAGTGCCCAGGCAGGCTCATAAGKGCTTCCCTAGAGGTATCTGCTCCTGTAACAGGCACAGCGCGATGGCTGGAGCTCAGGGAGGACTCTCAGGATCCTTCCCAGAACACCAGGTTCGGCCAAGTCCAGACTCCGACTCTGACTCCGACTCCGAGGACCCAGCCACGGGCAGCACGGGAGCTGGCTCGGGCTTGCAGAACTCTTCTCAGGTCATACATAGTGGCCACTTCATGGTGTCATCTCCGCACAGCGACTTGCTACCTCGGCGGCGTCACCACCCCACTGAGCGTGAACCTGCTGATCCCCGGAGCATTGACCCGACCCTCACCCGGCTCTTCGAGTGCATGAGCCTGGAGTACAGGTGAGTCTGAGAGCCCTTGTCCAGCACATATTTTACCGAGACTTCCCTGGCTCTTTGAAAGCATGAGCCCAGTGTGCTGGGAATGCTGGGCGGTCTTGGCCAATGCACACTCTGAAAAATCTGTTGCTATTTGCAATCTGGCATCATMTTCTTGCCCAGTGGAGCTCCTAGAGAGGGTCCAGCGGAGAGCGACAAAGATGATTAAGGGAATGGAACATCTCTCGTATGAGGAGAGACTGAWTGAGYTGGGCATGTTCAGYCTGGAGAAGRGAAGGCTGAGATGGGATYCGATTAACACGTRTAAGTACATGAAGGGGGTATGTAGGGAGGAAGAGGCCAAGCTMTTCTCATTGGCGGCCAGTGATAGGACAAGAGGAAATGGGTATAAGCTGAAACACAGGAAGTTCCATCTCCATGTGAGGAGGAACTTCCTTACTGTGAGGGTGACAGAGCCCTAGAACAGGCTGCCCAGGGAGGTTGTGGAGACTCCTCTGGAGGTCTTCAAAACCCGCCTGAACGCCACCCTGTGCCACATGCTCTAGGTGTGCCTGCTTGAGCAGGAAGGTTGGACTAGATGATCTCTAGAGGTCCCTTCCAACCTTGAACATTCTGTGATTGGGTTGGGATGTGCATTCTGCTCTGGAAAGGCCATCCTGGGAGGTTCCAGGGAGAAACAGGTGGTGCTGGGGTGTGTGTCAGGGAGCAAGCTGAGAAGTTCCTCCTCTCTTAACATCTACCTTAACCAACCCTTCGCCTCCCCAGAAGATTTGTAGTTACTGCACTCAATTGCACCATCTTTATGGCCCCAAACCCTGCACACTCTGCAGAGTAGTAGTGACCCTGTGTCCAGCCAATACTAAATGTCACTACCAGTCTGAGGCAATCCAGCCCAGGAGTCTTGCCKTCTCTTTCTCAGCTCTATTTACACTTCCCAAGGTTGTTCCAGGGTGCAGAGAAGCACTCAATGGGTGGAGGACTTCAAGAGGTTTTGTCCAAGGCCTCATAAAAATTTTGTCTCCTTCCCTCCTGTATAGTCACATTCTCACACTGACTGCACTTTCCCCCACACAAATCATGTATAGACATCTCCCACAAGCCCAAGGAGATTGGGACCTGCTTTGTTTCACACGTAGCTCCTTCTCCGTGCCAACAGGAGGCTCCTCATCATGCCTTGGTCCATATTCTTGGACACAGCTCCCCTCTTTCATCAAGGCCTTAAGGTCTTGAGTTTTCTCAGGTCTAGCATCAGGGCAGCATACTGTACTTGTCCCAGTGCAAAACTGTCTGTACAGTTCCTCAAAACAGCCAGGTGAAGGTGCGGAATGATGGTGCCTATTGATAAACTGATAACCCGAAGTGTGGGGGGGAACACACACCAAAAAACAGCCTTGAAAAGTTGCTCAGCTCTTGGTCCCTTGCAGGTTTTCATTCAATTGCTTCAGCCATTCTTGGGGGGAGAGCTCCAAGTGACGAGTATGTGAGCAGTGCCACAGAATAGTGCCAGTGCTTCCAGCTGCTGGGACAACACTCCATGGGGTACTAGTTGCCACAAAATTGTGTGCTTTGGGTTCATAGCCATGCATCCAGATGCTAGACTGACTGTGATCTGCTCACAGTCAGTGAGACACAACTCTTCTCTATGGCACTGGTGAGGAGGCTGGTGCTACATAGGAATATGGTGAGCCTCAGCATGCGCAAGGCCCTCAGTGACCCAGCTGAGGGTAGTGCATCCTTCAGGAGCCTGACACTGTCAGGCACATCACCCCTAGGTGATATCACTTTAATGTTCTGCTTGAGTCTTGCTGCACTGGGCTAGAAGGGCAGACACTGTTCTGCTCAATCGTGTCCAAGCTCTTGAGTGATGAGACACACCACAGCCTCCATTGGGCCTAGACACATCAGCAAGAGGAAATCTAGCACCTGGGGTATCCCTAACTTCCAATGGTTCTCAGGCAGAGARGAAGGGAATATGGTTCAAGAGCTTTGGGTCTGGATGGGTGACATGTGCCAAAGTCTGGCCCTTACCCTGCACAWAGGACTCCATCCCACTAGATCTCTCTAATCTGCAGACTATTTTGGGGCTTAATTTCTCTCCTGCACAGAGGATGATGTTGTGCACAACTAACCTCAAGCCTAGCACCATGACAAACTGCAACCACAGCTGAACCATAGTTATCAGTGAAGGGGATTCCCACCAGCTGCAAAGCTCAGTGCCGCTACTGATGGCCATGCTGGAGGGGACAGGGTACTGGAGATGTCTCCTGGCTGTCTTGGTGCAAGGCAAGGTCTTGCTCAGAACCTTTGGGAGAAGTTCATTACCTGCCATGGAGCCAGGGTAGCTGCAGTCTTCAGGACCCATTCGGGCAGATTTTGACATCGGATATTCCCTATACTTTATAGCCATTTCATCCCTCTTCTGGAAGTGCTCTCATCCTCACACACTACTCTCCACCTCTCAGCTGTAACACTCTGCAGCTGTGTCAGCACCTTAGAAACAGGATTACAAGAAGCACTGATGAAGGTGTGATGCTGCCCTGGATGTGCCTCTCCACAACTGGGATCCGAATCTGGCTGCAGAYGGCTATAGAGCTGTGCTGGTCAGCTGCTCTTCAGCCATTTCTTTTCTCCCTTTGGAAGGGCACGACATCTTTGCCAACACATTTTTTTTTGTCAGACTGGCAAGTAGCAGTTGGATCAAGTTATCAGAGGAGAAAAATAGAGCTTAAGAGTATTTAGCTGACCTGCACCTTTAGTCTTAGCTGATTAGGCTCTTCTCTGCATGTTTGACGTTTTTCACCCTATTTCCAAGCTCCTGTTTCGGGGTACTGGTATGGCACACCACCTCAGCTGGAGTAACCAGTCACATATCCTCCAAGTTTTAGGGGCACATACACCCCAGAATCATTGCACCCAGTGATACTGTAATGTCTTAATGAAGCAGGCACTGTAGAAAGGTATTGGTGGGGAAGCATGTCTGGAGAATCTAATCCAAAACCTGTGCAAGATAGGACTAACTCCAAAGCCAGATCAGGTTGCTTGAGTCAGAAAGAGATGAAAGCTGGAGGCCCTATTCCCTCTCTGGTCCCTGTCCCAGGGTTGCCCCACTCTTCAGAATATTTCAGAATATTTCAGAATATTTCAGAATATTTCAGAATATTTCAGAATATTTAAGGTTGGAAGGGACCTCTACAGATCATCTAGTCCAACCTTCCTGCTCAAGCAGGCACACCTAGAGCATGTGGCACAGGGTGGCATCCAGGCGGGTTTTGAAGACCTCGAGAGTAGGAGACTCCACAACCTCCCTGGGCAAACCTCTTACTGAGAAGAGTGTTCTCTACAGCTCTAATCGGAATTTCCTATATTCTAGCTTGTACTCATTTTTTCTTGTTCATTCTTAGCACATCTTTGTGCTGTACATTTCTCGGATGGCTGAAGAGTCTAAGCTGATCGCCTCTTCATTTTCTTTTCTTTAGGTTGAACAAACCTATCTCCCTCAGCCTCTTTTTGTATGTCATGTTCACCTGTCTCCCATCCTCTTAATGGACTTTGCTGGAATTASTATGGTGTGTGGATATCTTGCATTATGGGAGGACAAATCTGGACATAACATCTAGACATGGCCTCAGCAGTGCTGAACAGAAGAAAAAGATCACTTCTTTTGACCTGCTGGCCAAACTCTGGCTGTTGCAGCATACCCATTCCATGTTGTCCAAAGCCTAGTTCTCCAACTTCCAAAGGCAAATGTACTAAACTCGCTCTAACCTATATCACAGCTTTAAYGACAGCAGCTGAACAGTTGTTCAGATCACTGTAACTCCTCCCCGCTCCAGCACTGCTCTGTGGCACTTCACAGCCTTTTATACCAGTCCTGTCTCAGTGTGAGCAATTGTCCTGAGAATCTCCTACCCAATTCTTCCCTTCTGTGCTTCCAGCCTTTCCTCACCTCCTTACTGGGAGACATTCCCTCCACATCAAGGCCTGTTTCTAGCAGTAATTTTTCTTCACTCAAAGAAAGGTAGTTCCCACTGCCATAGCAATTCCCAAAGCCTTCAAACCCATTTTGCAGGAYATTGCTCTCCTTCCAGGAGCTCTTCTGCCCAAGAGCTAATCATTCTCTGCCACACTCTCTTGCAATCTGCTATGCTTCTTGAATCCTTTCCTTAGACCACCATTTCTCATGGACTTCCCTACAGCACACTGCACATCCCCAGGTTCCCCCTAAAAAACTTACTCCATGTATTTGAACTTGTTTCAAGAACTGTTCACCATTTGGCCTTGGCACAGACTCCACATCTGAGCAAGCTCCTTTTCTTCAGTATCTCAGTGTGTCACTCCCCTTCCTCACAGAGCTGCTCTCCAAGGCTCACACTCATTCCCATCAGGTCCTTGTAATACCACTASAGGAAATCATTAGATGCCTAAGGAGTTCTGGAGAAATACACTCCCAAAGGGCACAGGTGGGAATTGCAAATCACAGACACATGTCATCCCATCTTGCCTATATCTTTAGACAAAAGTTCCTGCAATCGTTTCAAGAGGACATATTGGAATCACCTACTTGCCTCTCCGGTAAGAATCTAGAGTAGTGATTTAGCAATTAGGGACTAGGAAATAATACAATGTTAAGTTGGTCATCATGACACAATTTACATCTAGATGGGCTTTAATTATATACTTGCATGTCGATTCAGTATTAATTKATCCTTCTGGCAGGCTAAGGCATTCCTACACAAAGTAAAATTGCTGCTACAGGCTTTGCCATATTCTCTAATTGCTTCTCAAATTCACAACACATTAAACATCTATACACGGGGAMAGACAGCACTCAGCATCATCATGGGCAGAAACCCAGCGACAATCACACTAAGCTGTCCTCACCCCCTCTTCCTTCTCATGATCAGATTGCCCTTGCCTGGGCGATCCAGGGAAATGATGCAGCCTCAAATCACCAGCACGTGCCTGTATGGAGTGTGCATTACTGTCAGCTAGTTCAGACTGGCCGAAAGTGACCTGCACAGACTTGACCATCTCGTGGGTTTGTTGGCTCTCATTCCTTCCTTCGATGAGACTTGGTCGGACTTTGGTCTGGTCTGACCAAGACCAAAGCCTGTCTCATCTGCCCTCACTGCAAGGAAGTAGGGCGCTGGACACAGCTGGACTGTGGATCTCAGTGGGCTGTGAACTGACTGCATAACATGCRCCTTTGCAGAGGAGAGGAGGGAATGGCAGGGTGAAACCAGGTGAGGACAGTCCATGCGCATTGCTCTGAGGGTGTGCTGTGCTTTGCAGTGAGGAGACACATGAGTTTTCTCTGTCATGCCCTGAGGATTTGGGGTCTGTTCATATCCAGATGCTGTGGAAAGCAGCTGCACTTCTGTGCGAGTCTCCTCCCACATGAATGCAGAGTGGGAACCTACCCCTGGAGATCATCAGAATAAATGGTGGTTAGGCCTTGTGGAGATACTGCTAGCTTGACTTGCAGATACCCAGATTCCCAGACAACTATTTGCAAGAGGATTTAGGTGGTTCCTCTTCTCCTCGGGAGCATTTCACGCTCTCTGTGCCCTCGGGTAAATGGCTGCTGAGGACGCAGGAGCTGTGAGGACATGGGCTCCGCTGTGCAGGAGCACCCAGAGCTGATCCCGCATGAAGTCCCTTAATGCCTTGGTCACAACGTTCCCCCAAATTACCCCAGCTACTCCCATGCCAAGCTCCACTGCAGCGCCTGCCAGTGCTGTGCTTGTCCCTTCCACAAAAGGACACAGTAAACAGTAGAGCTGGCGGAACATTTTTTTTTCCATCAATAAGAACACCAAAGGAAAGAGTTCATTCAAATAGTAAGGGCATATTTCATGACAAAGTTGGATTTGAACATCAATGATCTCTTTTTTTTTTTTTTTTTTTTTGCTTTTCTGGCATTGTTCCAGAAAATGGTGTTTGCATTTTTTAACTTTCTGTTCCAGATTTTGGACTTAAAATGCAAAACTAAAAATCAAGGGAGAAAAAGAGAATAGGCCACGTGTGTGCCGGGGCCTGAGAATCGCGCCGCGGCCTGCAGCCCATGGGAGAGGTGGCCCCCGGCCCTGGCCGTCAGTGTGGGCGCCGGCGACTGCCTCCGTGATCGCCCTTGCGGCACAGCGCGGGCTCGGGCCCTCTCCTGGGAAATTATTTCAGGCAAGGGTGGAGCCATTTTAAAGGCAAATTGGGGAGCAAAGATCAGCCTGATAAGCTGAAAACCCAAAGGGATCGTTAACGGGAGAAGATGGCGGCCATGCAGGCTCCAAGGCATCTCCCCGCTGCCTCCCTGTGCCCGCGGGCGGCTCCGCAGCCATGGCCCGGCCTGAGGCGCCTGGCCTGGCACTGGGGCTCCATGCTGGGGCTCAGGCCGTGCTTTAAGCTAGCTGACGGGCACAAGGCACCCTTAGCATGGAGAGTAGCTGGGTAGCCTTGACCGGCAGGCTTTGGCCGCGCGCCCAGGGAGCCCAGCGCTCCCATTGGCTCCTGTGCTTGGCACCGCGCGCTGTTTGCCTTGTGCCACGGCGAAGGTTCAAACTCCCCGGTGATAGCAGAGTGGCCGGTGCGTAGCCAAGTCCTTAACTCTCTGTAGGCTGGAGCGGCAGGGACGTGGCACCCTTCCCCAAGCCCCCCAGGACCGCCTGTGTGGGGAAGGCCTCCCCGGCCCTGGCCTTCAGCTGCTCCTGCCTCTTCCTCAGCGGGGATTGGGGCTTGTCCCACTGGGTGCAGGACGCCCCGCTCCACGTGCGAAGGAGCCTGCAGCAGAGCCGCGGCAGCACCGCCGTTGGCTCCCTCGTGCAGGGGTGCAGTGGGCCTGGGGCTGCGTGAGCGGCCGGCGGCCTTGGCTCTCCTGGGGGGCACTGGCCCCTTCCCCCTCAGCGGGTGAGAGCACCTGCTCCCCAGCATGGTCCTCCAGAGCCGGGAGGCACGTGCAGCCCCAGCAGGGTGAGATGGCAGAGCTCTCCTCACCTCTCTGCCTCCTGCTCCCTGCCCAGCACCCTTCCCTCCAGCGACCAGGGTCTTTCTGCAGAGAGTGGCAAAGATGGCACGCTGCCTGGCACCGCGGAGCAGAACACGAGGGACTTGGGGGCTCCAGCCATAGCCCCAGGCAGTTAACAGTCCCGGAGCGGCTCCCGAGGGAAGTGCTGGCCCTGCTTGTGTGCCCCTGCTCTGCTGCAGGGCATTCCTTGCAGAGCTCCTCAGGGGGACATCCTCGCTGCACACTGCCTCCGGGCTGTGCAGGGAGCAGCTGAGCCGATGCTGGCAGAGGAAAAATACAGCATCCTAATGCTCAGCCCAGGCTCCACCTTTTCTCCTCTCTGAGTGCAGAGGGAATCAAGCAACTCCTGTGACTATAAGGAAAAAACTTCTGGCACAAGGAAGAAGTGCTGTTGTGGCCTTACCCATGCTTTGTGCTCTGTAGGCTTGTGCTGGCAGTCTGGAGTTGTGTCAAGCTTCTGGAACAGCATCTCTCATGGAGATAATGCTGTCCTGCTCCCAGCTTGCTCTCTAAAGGTCCTTCCGTTGCACCAGCGAGTGAAATCAAGATCAGCCCCTCCAGAGGACAGATCCTGGAGAGTGCGAGAGCACTGCTGGGCTTACACAGAGAGGGAGAAAAACTTGAAACCAATAACACAAGGGAGAATGCCCAGGATGGTGCCAGGGAGGCTGGTTGGGATGACAAGTGYTACATGGCAAGGCAGAGGGACCCCAGTTTCCTCTGCTGAGCTCCTCGAGCAGAAGGACCCTTGGGAGCCCTCYGTGCAGTGCTGCTGCCTGCACGTGCGGGTGACGTCTCTTGGCTAGGTGGAAATGAGTGCCATGGCTGGATTAGTGAAATGAGGCTTCCAGCACTGCCTGCTCCATTAGGGAAATCAGTACCACCACAACAAGCTGTAAAACAAACACTGCTGCCTCCCGGAGCCTGGAAACGAGGAAGGAGGGAGCAGGGCCTGGGTCAGTGGGACTGGGGATGGGCCTGCTCACTGCTGAGGGAGCAGGCTTGGCACGGAGTGCACAGGTTCTTTGGGGCAGACGTTGGCATCTGTTAATGCTCTCAGGCTTGTCATCTGGCCACTCAGCTGAAGGGCCGCCTTTCCAAGTCTTGCCCAGAGTTAGGAGTGTCTGCCCAAGTGGCACGATGTGGCAAGCACCACAACAGGACACGATGCTGGTGTCAAGAGCCACAACAGGACACAATGCTGGTGTCAAGAGCCACAACAGGACATGATGCTGGTGTCTTGGATGGCTTGGTGAATTCCCTCTGACCCCAGCCGGTGCCACAATGTAGCTGGTCCTCAATGGAGGCTGCAGACTCTCTCCCTGCCACCAGCTGCATCTCAAGTTTCAATGAATTAATTCTTCCATAGGTTGTGTTTTAATCTCAAGGGCTTGGGAAGCCGCTTGTGAGTTTGCRAAGCTTCCCATTTACATTTGTGCTTCTCTTAAAGATTAAAAAAGAGCTCAGGATTACTCCCAGATTCAGTATTTGACTGAGCTGTGCTGTCCAGCCACATGTGCTTTAGACTTACCACCTCCATGGAGGCCTGGGACTGCCTCAAGGCACAGTAAGTCCATCCTCAGGAGGCCTCTCACCAGGAAGGCCCTGGGATGATGCTCCTCAGCCTCTCCTTTGCTTGATATTTTAGTGGGAAGCTGGTGTCTCCAAAGTGGAAGAATTTCAAGGGGCTGCRGCTGCTTTGCCGGGATAAAATCCGTCTCAACAATGCTATCTGGAGAGCGTGGTACATCCACTGTGAGTATGTAGTGCCAGCGCCTGGGGCTTTCCTCCTACTGCATCTTGGGTGATGCTGCGTGGGCAAGGGGGCCAGGGGCTGGGCAGGGGAGCTCTATATGCCCAGGCCTCCTTCCCTGAGCAGACAGGGAGTTGGGAGTAAAATCTGACTGTGTTTTCCCCTTGGCAGATGTGGAAAGGAGGAAGAATCCCATATGTGGCTTTGTCACTCCCCTGGAGGGATCAGAGGCTGATGAGCACCGAAAACCAGAGGTAGCTTAAGGGCCTTGTGAGTCTGAGTGCATGGGTGAGGGCTGAGGCCAGCACAGGTGGCAGAGCTGCCTAGTTCCCAGCATTTGCCAGGGAACGTGTTTCCAAAGTGGCACGAGGGAATGGGCCGTGGCTGTAAGCTCATGGCCRGGAGCAGGTTGGTGGGATGGCAATGGCGCTGTGCTGCTGGCCGGGCCCGGGATGCCGCATAGCTGTGACCCTGCTGTCACCCTGCTTCCGCCAGGCCGTCGTCCTTGAGGGCAACTACTGGAAGCGCCGCATCGAGGTGGTGATGAGGGAGTACCACAAGTGGAGGATATACTACAAGAAGCGGGTAAGCGGCGCTGTCCCCGCTTCTTGTCTTCTCCGTGGCAGCAGCAGTGGTGTGAGGGACACCTGGTGACATGGCAGACACACGTACGAGGAGCTCGCTGAACTGGAACTGGCCAGGAGGGTTCCCGGCTGCTGCGGGAGGCAGAGACTGGCCCCTCACAGGGCCCTGGCACAGTGAGAGCGCTGCGAGGCCCCAGCCTCAGCAGAGGCTGCGATGTACAGTCTAGGGATCTGACCGAGGATGACCCAGCCGTGCCTGTGGCATGATCCGGAGCCAGGGTTTGCCAGGCTGCCGTTGGCAGCGCACCCACAGTGCACGTGCTGGGGTGGGATGAGCGGGGCCACGGCTCGCCCGTGGCTTACCTGCTGGGCTGGGATTTGCTGGCACCCGCGGTTCACTCCTAGCTCATCCTGCCAGCACGTGCTGCGGGGCAGGCCCAGGCTGGCCCAGCGTGACCCCAYGCAGGTGCCCGCTTGCCAGGCCTGCCATCTAGCGGTCGCATGAACAGCTCGGTGGCCCTTGGCCACTGGCCACGCGGGGTGGAGCGTGATGCCAGCCGCCTCCCTGGGCCTGATAAAGCCCAGGGTGCTATGAGCTAGGTCAGGGTGCTGGCAGCTTCCACATCGCGAGCACCACTGCGCTGGGCTCCCACCGGTGCAGCCGCAGCTTGGCTGTTGGCATCACAGGGAAAGGGCTGGGCCCTGTAAAGTAAAGGCAGATGTGAACTCATGGTGGCCTCAGCCAGGTCCTAGAGCGGGCAGTGCGTGCTGGCCTCCACTCTCAATGTAGGTGGGTGACCAAGGGGCATGAGGGCAGGGTCCAAGMTCTGTTCTGCAGAGCTCCCCAAAACCCCCTGTCCTGAGCCCTGCTACCGCCCGCCCTGCCCCTAGTCCTGCCCGGCAGCTGGGAGTGCCAGCCCCACACAGGGGTAACACGCTGTGTTTGCTTTGCAGCTCCGAAAGTCCAGCCGGGAGGGTGAGCTCTCCAGCCCAAAGCGGGTGAGTCCCCTGGGAAGGGCTCRGTGGAGGGGGGAGAATGGGCACAGTCTGGATGCCTATGATGGAAAGTTTGGGAGAAGGGAGGACCAAAACTCCAGGGTATAAAATCCCTCTATGGTTATGGGGGCCCACTGAGAGAAGCACTTTGAATGCCAAGTTCTCCATTCCAAGAGGAGAAACACATGAGTCCTGAAGTTCTGGCTTATAAATACATCAAGGAGCACAGAAGCCACCCAGAGAGAGAAGGCAGGGAGCATGGAATGGGCCCTTTCACATGCTCAGATCCCACTGGGCTCCTTTTCTATCTCATGCAGGATGAGGATGTCTGGAGGCCAACAGAAAAATGGTGCAACCAGCTATTCTGCAATGTGGTGCCCATGCTGCTTGGGGATGAGGAAGAGGACCCTGGGGGTAGGCAGCACTTCGACTTGGATAGCTTCCTCTCAGACATCTCTGACACCCTCTTCACCATGACACAGACGCCTAGTGCCCACCAGGAGCTCCCAGAGGATGGTAGGTGCCCCATCTGTGCTCTTACCTGAGGTGGAAGATAAGGTCCAGGCAGACGGCATACTCCATTACAGACATTGCTTCCTCTTGGCTTACCCTCTGAGAAATTACTGTCCGTGTCCTTTGGACATGAGTCCTTGGAGCCCCTTTGCAGAGATCAGCGCCTGGACACCCTTTCTAGCTGGGACAGGAAACAGGGATGCTCTTGCCCTGCAAAAATGGAGCAAGAAGCTGCCGGTAGCTCTTTACCGGTCAGCCTGAAGGCTTTCCCCTGGAAGCTGGGGTGTGGTGCCGAGGGCAGTGTTTAATAGCAGTTATTCAGCCCAGGGGAGGAGCCAGGTGAGTCTGCCCACTTCCTCACCTCAGCAGAGGCCTGCRCGGCTGGCCACAGGAAGCACCTTGCTGTGCCAGACCCCCAGGACATCTCTGCAAGACCTGGGCAACAAGCAGGCGGATCCTGCTTGCCATAACCTCTATTTGTTGCCTCTTCCTGGCCTAGCTGGAAGGGTTCCTCTGCATCAGGCATTCCCATGATCCCAGAGTGGTCCTGTGCCAGGATCTCCTGCTCTGGGTGGTTCTTGGGCCCTCGATGAAGGCTCAGAGGTGCTGAGAGACAGGATGCTGGGGACTGGATGGCTCTAGAGGTTGGGACTCTCCATGGTGGGCACCTTCTCCCCTGCCCTTGTGCTGCTGGGAGGCAGGGTGCTGTAACAGGGTGTGATGCTAAGATGCCCAGGAAGGTAGTGGCAATAACACATGCATGTGAGAGGAGGGGTCYGTATAAGTACAGTGATCAGGCCTCAAAGCTGCAGCTCTGCCCTCTTCCAGCTTATACTGGGAATGCTGATATGATCCATCCGGACTTGGCCCCCCTGCAACCCAGCCTGGATGATATCATGGAGATCTCAGGTAGGAACCAGCCTGGATGCCGGTGTAGGGTCCCATCTGCAGACAGCAGATAGCGTGGGCCACATGTTGCACTGTAGGGCAGGGGCTCTGCTTATACCTGGCTGTGACCAGGTCAGAGCTATGGAAGGTCAGGATGGGCCTGGACAGAAGCTGTGGAAGGGAATTTCTGCAAACAGAGGCTCTTTCCAGGAGTGTGAAATCACCTGGGTTTGCCTGCAGACACAGGAAGAACAACTGTCCCCGCAAGAAAGAGGAAACCCCTAGAGAGAGCAGGTTCTGTGCTGCCATGTCCTCTCTCCTCGTAGCGCACCCCTGCACGATGCTGACCGATCCCAGCCAGCAGGCAACCCAGGGGTCGTGCTGGCCAGTGCTACATCCCTTGGATGACAAGGCACTGCCAATACCAGCCTGGTCACAGGAAAGGARTCTGAAACTGGTTTCAAAGCAGGCTGAGAAGGAGTCAGGGAAGCAGCATCTTCCTGTGGGGTGGCCATCCCCTCTGCCTTGCAGTCTCCTCAGAGCCTGCACTGAGACTGGGGCTGGTGCAGAGATTGCTGGGCATGAAGGGAGAATGCAGAGAAAACAGAGGAGAACATCACGAGCAACAGGAATACCACAGAGAAGGAGAGCTGGAAATGGTGGAGGATAGAAGAGCAGATATCAGCACCACTCTGTGTGATCATGTTGGTCTTCAGCTGCCCATGGATCTCCTGGTGGCAGCGGCRGGATACAGATTGCAATGTTCTTCCAGTTCCCATGTCCTCTCATGCAAAGCCAGCCCTCATGTGTCCACTGTAGCTACACCGTGTCCATAACTCCTGGTGAATCAGCCAGGATGCATCCCGGTCTTGGCTGTGCTGTGCAGTGCCCTGGTGGATTGTGCCAGGGCCAGGCACCACTGACACGTCTTGCATCAAGGAYGAGCTCTTCTGCCTTTGAATGTACAGGAGTTGGTGGCCTGGGGACACTTTGCAGAGGAGCAGCAGATCTGACCTGCCAGACTGGTTCTCCTGGGGAACCAGCAGCTTCAGTGTCCCGAGCTCTTGTCCAAGCTCTGTGCTTCTCTGAGCGCCCTGTTAGCTGAGCCTTGCCAGGCTCCATTTCCCACTTCCCTCTGCTGAAGGAAATGAGTGTTCTTGCACCATACAGCTCCAAGATGATGCAAGACCAGATGCTGAGAAGGGGGCCGGTGAAGAGCCTTATGTGTCAGGCCAGGTGAAGGATGCTCTCTGCCAGCCTCTGGGAGGATTTGGTAGGAAGGCTGTCACCACCGTGTCCCAGCTCATTCCCTCCAGAGATTGTAGTGGGGCAAGCCTTGCTAGGGGGACAGGATCTGTTCCCACCACTGGCCCTTTCCACTCTGTCTCCAGATGCTCCTCATGAGCAACAGTAACTGGGAGAAGAGATAACTTCAAATGAGACAGAACAATATTTCAGAGATCTCCCTTTCTCAGGAAGGCCCCTCATGGCACTGGGAAGTTGCTCTAGTGCTCTTCCAAGCAGTGTCACATAGCAGCGGATGGGCATTACGGTGTTTCCACGAGCAGCAAAATCATCTGCAGGGCTACGTTTTGGACTAGGGTGTTTCCTGGGAACAGGGTGGGTCTCCTCGCAAGCTGCTAAATTGCAGGAAAGCCTCCCTTCTCTTTTCTGCCCCTGCTCTGAGTTTGGGGGTTCACGGGTCCAAGGAGGGTCCTGAGACCAGCTGGGCCGG